CAGGCAAACGATGACACCGGCCAAATGCTACTGCTCACTAGCCATCAGCACCTGAACCTCGAACCCCAAGCCTCAACCCCGAAAAAAAACTCTGAAACCCTAAACCCTCCAACTCTAATACCCTACAGTAAGCCAAACAGCCCAAGAGCTGGTCAATACCTAAGAAGCTCTCAGGCCTCGCGTTTCCAGGCCCCGAGGTTCGTGCGAGGACCTGTCATCCTTGGTCAGGGATTTTTGGGCTTATAGGGTTTAGGGTTTAGGGCCTAGGCCAATAGATGACAGGGAATTCCAAGCCTTCTTTGTTCCCTCTTTTACTTAGTTTAAACGAGATGAGGGAACGCACCTTGCGAGTCCAAAGGCCTGGACCAAGATCCCTGAGCCCGAAACCCTGAGAAACCCAAAAATCCCTACACCCTCATGAACCGCTAAACTCCCTAAACCCCCATGAAGCCCGAATCCCGATACCATAAACCCCCAAGGAACGCCACATCCCCCCAAGGACGGATCAATCCCGAAACCTAAACCCTAAACCCTAAACCCTAAACCCAAAACCCAAAACCCTAAACCCTAAACCCCTGAAACGCTAAAACCCTAAACCCTAAACCCTGAAACCCTAAACCCTAAAACCCATCAACCTCGGAGCCCCTCTCCATCGCGAAGCAGAATGCGCAAGCCCAGGCTCCCACTCCGTAGCGGCTCATCCGGGGGTTCGCGTTGATCTCTTGAATGGTCGCATGGCCTGGGCTCTTGTTAGGGGATAGGGTTTAGGGTTTAGCGTTTAGAGGTTTAAGTTGCCATAATGAGGAAACCCTATACATTTCTGTAGATCCCTATTATGGTCACTTAAATAACATCCCTTATCATTAAGCCCAGTTGCTGATTTCGCAGGGCTGGTAGTTCTGGAGCTTTCCCAGCCTTGAGTTTAAAGGAAACTACACGTGGGGAGTTTCGGGTATTATAGGGCTTCTATAAGGCTTCTATCAAGTATAAACCTTCTATATCCCTAAACCCCAAACCCTAAACCCTAAGCCCTAAACGCTAAACCCTGAGCCTTAAGCCCTAATCCCTATAATGGTAACTAACCCAACTGAAAATGGCCCAGCCCGAGTTGGCCAAACATGATAGGATCCCTTCAGCCTTTCACTCTCTCGAATGTAGGAGCCCTGATTTTCAGAATCCCTGACCCTATAAACCCCAAAACAAGTAGGGGTTTAGGGTTTCGGGTTTAGGGTTGACTAGGGTTTCGTGTTTAGATATATTAGGGCTCATATTTAAGAACCCTAATAAGGAGACCCAGGGTTCGAAAAATCAGGTTCCCTTTGTTTTGGTATGGAAGCCCCTTGCACTGGTGCTCGGGCCAAGGTTGGGGGATTGGGGGGTTTCTGTACTGCCAACCCATTCAGGAATCCTGGGGGGTAGCTTTCTAGATTAGGGTCCCTTTTTTCTTCAGGATGCCGTACTATATTGGGGACTTAATAAGGGACCCTAGTTTAAGTTTAGAGAACTACCCCTGGGAACAGAAACGGCATCACGAATTGCTCGGGCCCTGCGTCTTCTCGTTCAAAGCTGTTGGTAGTTTTGGCGTATTTCCGCACTGAGCAAGTCATGGGTAGTTCTCTAAGGTAGGGTCCCGGTTGACTCTTCGGCAAGGCCTGCACCCACACTTGGCACCCCCCNNCCCCCCTCCCCTTTTTGTGGACCCACGGATCGGCTCCAAGGTCAGTGTGAAGCTTCCTTTCGGTTGGGTTTAGGGTTTAGGGTTTAGGGCGTAGAGTTTAGGGTTTAGGGTTTAGGGTTAGAGTTTAGGGTTTAGGGCTTAGAGTTTGGGGTTTTGGGCTTCTGTTCGTAGGCAGCTCCACCGCCCCTCCACCCTGCTCCGCCCCATGACGCTTAGAGAAACAGCTGAGCCCTTGATCGGCCCTCTTTATATTAGTTTACATTACACTATATTGTATTATGTTATGATATTATTATGTTATAGTATTTCTTTATTCCTCCTTTCCGGGCCGAGGCGGACGACGCGAAGTGTTTACAGTTACAGTTAGTTTGAGAATCCTGTCGGGTTACGTCAGCACCGAGCATTCCGGCTAAGTCCACAGGAGAAGCGCATTTAGTGCTTTGCTGCACCGGCCCTGCCAGAGAGAACATTCGGTAATGCGGCGTCGTTGCGAGACCACGGCCTAAAACCGATGATAGAACCGTTAGGGCCTTTAACGTGTTGGGCCTCGGGTTTTGAGAGTTTAGGGCTGTCTAGGGCGGTTTTAGGGTTGATGGTTGAAGGTTTAGAAGGTTAGGGCTTGGGGCTTGCATCCCAAGCAACATCTTCTTGGACAGGACAAAGTCTCCCACGGCCACCTTCGCCAACTTCATGCAAGTCGGAGCCACCGGGAACACTGGGTTGTGATGTCCAGCATATTGAAACCGGTCCGAATTGATCCGATGGTTCTTCCACACTTTCTTGTATTTCACACTCTGGTCGTCCTTCTCCTGCTCCCACTGGTACATGAGGGCTTGCCTCACTGGCTCAAACATAGCCACATGGCACAACTTGGCATTGGTCCTATACAGCAGCAAAGTAGTTAACACCCCACAAAAGGAAGTCTAGGGAGGGAGGTCTTTGACCAGCACTTCAGAAGTCCCAGTTGCGCCCTGAGCTTGGCAGAGTTGGCAGGGGCGGAGATGTTCGCCCATTCTGGCAGCACCAACTGGTCCGCTGACGTCGCGTCCCCCTGCAGGAATACGAGCTGCCTCTGGTTTCCGGGGACAGCAGTAGACCCGGTCTCGATGACACGGCGCCGCACCAAATCAAGCAGCTGCTCTATCCTAACCGCATGGCCCTCATTCAACCAAAGGAGGCTGAAGGCGATGCAGGCACAGATGGTGCCCACCATGGCATCGGTGAAGGGATTATCCCGGTTCCGGGCGAACTCCACCGGAGGAGGCTCGGAGACTCCATCAACATAACCTGGAGGGGCATGCTGCGGCTCTTGGGGTTTTGGCGTTTGGGGCTTTGGGTTTGGGGTTTAGGGTTTAGGGTTTTTAGGGGTTAGGGTTTTTGGGGGTTAGGGTTTAGGGTTTAGGGCTGCATCACGCCGGAATCATGGGCCTGGAAGAATCCGCCAAGGTAAAGGGCTGCCTGCCCAGGCAAAGGCCAAGGTGATGGCAGCCCAGGCAAGGAAACTCGTCCGAACCGTTGCCCGAGGAATCTTCACCATGGGCCGGTGGCGTAGGGATGCAACGGATGCTTGCTGCTACATGCTGCTGCGTCTGAAGCAAGCTTCCCATCGAAATGCCCGCCTCCCCCATACGTCCCAATGCACCACACGAGACAGGGCTTCGGGGGGTTGCAGGTTTAGAGGCGAAATCAGCCTGGCAGGGTGTTGTATAGCTTCTGGTAAGGTGCCCTCTTCGTACCTTTCTGAAAGAGGCTCATCAGAGTATAGTCCTTCATGAGTAGGCGGCTATGTCACGTTAGACCTCCTACGAGTTTCATTCTGAGTGAGACGAGACCTTGACGTGAGTTATGTATGGGATCGAGTGGGAATTTGGGATCGGGCCTACGCAGCTCTAAGGCTGCTTCAACAGAAGGCAAGGACTGCTGAAGACCACCTCTGTGCAGCGCAGTATGCTCCCGGATTTCCGCTTTCAAAGCCTCTGGGTTTCCGTCTCCCGCAGATGTCGTGGCTTTGTTGTATCTGAGCCCACATTCGGCTTTTCTGGGGGTGGGCTATTTCACAGTTTTGTCACATGTCCTAGCCTAAAGTTGACTTGGAAGAGCGAGGGCTCTGCTGAACTGAAGTATGAATAGTATGGCATGCATATACTCTTCAAACCAAACCCCTACCTTGACCCACGATTCATCTGCATAGGTGGGGCCACAGTTTCGCTTCGACTCGTGCGCACTGCGTCACCAGCCCTACCAAGCTGCCAATGCGCCCAAAGCGTCCCGAAGCCCCTAACTTAAACCCTAAACCCTAAACCCTAAATCCCAAGCCCTACTTATAACTAGCCATGAACCTCCAAGTACACCCTAAACGGGATCCCCCGCTCCACTAAGGCTCCCAGAGCTTGAAACTCCAAAAGGGTCTCCGGAGCCCACGGAGCCCGAGGAAGCCGCCTGGAATGGGAATCCCCCCGGCCAGAGGCAGCGACGGAGGGCAAGGACAAATCTAATCGTGAATCGTGGGTTCGAGGCACATGTGACGTGTCTTGCTAAACCCTAAACCCTAGGCCCTAAACCCTAAACCGTTTTGGAATGCTTTTGGGCTCTTTGAACTGGCTTCAGCCCTTCCGATTCGAGCTTCATTGGCTGCAGCAGCTCGGAGATCTGTCCCTCGACACCCCTGTGGAACACAAAAGCGCAGACTTGCCCATGTACTTGCCCAAAGCCCGTCTGGAAGGTGTAACGAACTGAGGCTCCGTCCAACACCATTCAACCCTTATAATACCATTATAGATCCCTTTAAAAGAGCCCAATAAATCCCCTAAATCCCCAAGCTTCAACCATGCGCGATCGAGGCTTTGCGACTTTGTCTCATCTTCAGTCCAAGGTCTGCTTTCTCCCTGTAAGCCGTGGCGATGCTTACCACGCGAAGATGCTTTGCTCCGAAGGAACCAGGACTGGCAGTCGGAAACGGAGATCGAGAGGGGCGGCAAGGGCCTCGCCTTCCAGCGGTGAGAGCCTGCACCCGCCGCCAGCCCCGAATTAAAGGAAGGCGAGGCCCAAGGCCGGGGACATGAAAGTAGTCTCAAGTAGACGACTTATAATATATAATATACTGCCAGTCCAAGGAGCTTGGTGAAACGACTCATTTCTGGAAGGCAGGCCGGTTGCCCAAATGGCCTCAGGGCACGCGCGCGCATGCGCTAAGATCCACGATACGCAGAGAGCCCTCCAGCGTACTTTTTTCCGATCCTGCAAAGTGCCACTGCCTCGCTAATACGCAGCGACATCAAGCCGGTCGGCTCTCTTCTGACTTTGGGGGAATCGAAACGGAGCTCGATGCATCTCTCCGGCTTTCGCATCTCGCCCCGGATCATCACGAATTAGCTCGATCTGGCCAGAACTACCCCAAGGACAACTTGTCCCCTCACTGCAGGCTGCCAGGATTTGACTGCCAAGATCTCCCAAGTATGGCAACATAAAGAACTTGCATCTTCCATGATTAACAGTGTGCTCAGTAACCGAATCCTGGCATGATCTCCTAAACATCGTGTA